CAAGGGCGGCAACAAGACTTCTCTACAAATCTTCCTCGTCATCTCGACGTGCTTTCTTTACCTGGTTGCAGCGGGTCTGTTCTCCAAAGGTGTCTGGAACCTCGAACAGAATGCCTGGGTCAAGCTCGCTGGCGAGGGTGCTGCAGAAGCCGGTGCCGGTCCTGGTAGCTACGATATCAGGAAGAGCGTGTGGCACGTAAACGTGGGTCTACATTGTGACAGAAGCCGAACCTCTTGTACTGACTGCGATAACAGTGCTGCTCACCATTGGAAAACGGCGATGGCGGGTAAGTGATGCACTCTCATCCAGATGTTTCCTCGCTAACATCGGCTCAGTTGGGGTATCTTTAACTCTCTTTTCGGCTGGCAAAACAGCGCGACCTACGGCTCCGTCATCTCGTACAACCTATACTGGCTCGTCGTCATCATCGGTTTCGGGTTCCTAGGGTGGAAAGAAAGCAAGAGCAGCCCCCCTCACAGCGCGCAAACCGAGAGCATTTCTTCCAGCGAAGAACGCGAAACCACAGGAAAAAAGTCCAGCGGTGAAGGCATCACAACCACGACAGCTGTACGAGAAGTTGATTAGATGAGGTGAGAAATCGCCGCCTCGAATATCAAGAATATCGAGGCTGTGAAATTGTGTTGAGCGTATTTATAGATCTAGTGGGAGGCCTCGCTGTCAGCTAATTGGGACGATTGAGGGAAAAAGCTTGTTCGGGCCAAAAGTGGGCCCTAATGCAACCCACTCTAAACGAGGCCTAGGCCGTCCCAAACATCCCCAGCACCGAATCCAAGATAACCGCCCCCTGAATATCATCCGAAACACCGTGAGATTGTGGCCCTCATTGCAGTTTGCACATCGAACGCGTGTCGTTGATCTTTTTGCTGTGGGTCCCCCGATGGATGGTTTGCGTTGACCTGACGATCATGTTGGGGGGGCACCGTTTGACAGATCTTCAGCTTACCTGCAAGGCGCTCAACGGTTTTCGTTACTAAAAACAAAAACACTACGGCATGGCGCAAGACAGCGAAGATGACGGGCTGACACGACATTATTACCCATGCGCTGGAGCCGAGTTTCGTGGCGGAGTATACGCGTTCGGGTGTTGATGCACAAATTGAGGTATACATAAAGTGGATGCTGCCTGCTCTCCCACGCGCTTTTGCTCCTAGGTCCTCGCTCTTGCTCCTGTCAATCGTTATTTCTGTCATTCTTAGATCTTAGTTTCAACTTTAGACGGCACTGTTCACCTGTTCTTTACCCAACGTTCTCCACAACTTTCGCAATTACCGTTACGATGCAGTTCAAGAACCTCGCTCTCCTCACTGCCGTTGCTGGCACTGCTGTCGCAGAATTCGCTATCATCACCACACCGTTCCCCACGAACCTCAACATTCTCACCGATGTATGTTCCAGTCTACCCACCCATTATCTTGTGTAATCAATGCTGATCCACGATATTAAGATCGACGGTTACGCTTCGTCCGTGTTGAACGTAGTCGAGACGGGCCTCGCGTCCCTCACCCAAGCCTCCAACCTCGCTGCCGCCAAATCCGCTCACGATGGTCTCAAATCCTTCGTTGCTACCGCTTCATACTCGATTCCTAGCGGCGTCACCGAAGTCGGCGCGCTCGAGACCCTCTCTGAGACACCGGCCTGGTACAGCGCGCTTCCCAGCGATGTGAAGAGCTACTACGACAAGTACAACCAGGAGGTTCAGAGGCTGGTCAACCAGGCTATCCTCGGCGAGAACGGCACTCTTGCTACTACCACTGGAGCTGGTGCCAGTGGTGCGTCCGCGACAGGTGCGAGTGCGTCTGCGACTGGAACCGGTGCCGCCATGGCCAACGTGGTTGGCGTGATGGGCGCTGGTTTTGCTGCCGCGTTCGCCGGTGTCATGGCCTTGTAAGCGTTGGTACGAAGTTTTGAAGTTGGATTAAAGGAGTAGGATTTACAGGGCAGGTCGTTTAAATTTCTTCATTGGGCTGCCCTTGGCTAGGGATGAGATTTCCACGTGAGGCGGAACGACATCCGAATTTGTAGACGAGTTTTAGTTATGATACCTTTGCTTCTTTTCTGCACAGTTATGAGCTGCGAACGACAGGACGCTCTTCCCATTGAGTGATCTCTTCTTATATTGATCATGTATTTACTCGTCTATACCTTTAGATCTATGCGCCTCCCTCTTTCCATGCACACAGTACATGCCTGTTGCCCCGCGGCCTCGATAAGACTCCCTACTGACCTTGACCCTTCGGCTGCGCCAACTTCGCAACCTCGGGATCCTTAGTAACCTCCTCGTACTCCGGTCTCGGCAGCTCAAACGCCTGCGTCGACCTCGCATACGTAATACCACCCAGCCTAGATATCGGCTTGAGAACCTGTCCAGCATTAGCAACCTCCAACACCCACAATCTTCACACTCAATACTTACAGCAGGATCAACAAGCACGCCCTGCTCATCAACAGCATCCTCCCTAACCCAAAAGTTGACACCCTCCACAAACGCAGTAACACCAGTCTTCTTATCCGGCGTAGCAGGATTCTTACTCGTCCATTCCACGGTATTCACCAGCTTTCCCTCAATACTAAACACAGCCTCCTTGACACGATCAGGCTTGACAAACTTACTCTTCTCCGCATGCAGCCCGCTAAACGCCCACTCACTCACATCAGCCGGCGCATTGATGCTCGTGTAATTCGCCGCCTCGACGTACTCCTCCGTGATGATGTTGATAACAGCTTCCTTGGTATCAACCAGGTTCTTGAGGGTATCCTTGGCTTTGTCCATGCCACCTGCAAACCCGAGGACGAACATGGGTGGGTCGTGGTTCACGAGGTTGAAATAGCTGAAGGGAGCGAGGTTCGTGCTTTTGCCATCTGCGCTGATTGTTGAGACGAAGCCAATTGGGCGGGGGACGATGGCGGAGATGAGCAGCTTGTAGTTGTGTACTACGGGTCGGCCTTCTTCGTAGGGGTTGATCGAACGGTGCGCCTTTTGCAAGCTGGAGGGCTCGTTGGGGCCGGAACCGGGTGTCCAATTGGGTTTCGGGGTTTGCGTGTAGTGGAAGGAGGAGCTTGTGTCGAAGGGTGGGCGCGAGGCTTCGACGGCTTTGAAGTCGCCGTGCGGGTTGCGTTTTATTTCCTTTTCGGCATCTGCTCGTCCGGTTGCCATGATGAGGTCTGTAGTTTGGGTGTTGTGACTTAGGGGGAAGAATTGTTGGGGAGCGAATCGTGCTGTAGTGGTGATCACTGGAACGATGTCTTTATATCGATACCTAGCTATGGGTGCAACTGCCGTTTAGTAAAAGATGATCAATCGCGCAAAAAAGTGCTCTACGGCAAATAGCGGATATAATTCCGAGCCTGCAATTGTACAAGGGGCGGCCGCGGAATGCCCACCGAGGCTTCTTGAGCCGCCATCGTATGAATCTTGGCAGGCCGCTTGGAACTAAGAAGTTCTATTTGCATTGAGGCTGCTAGAAGATATATGTTTCTGGCCCGTATAGAAGGTTTGGCCATGCCCATTCTGACGGGTACACACGGCGATTTGCCGCAAGGGACGGGTTTGTCAACGTCATGTACCCCACCATATCTCTCAGCTACCCCGCCATGAACGATAACCACGCCAGAGCTTAGTGGCAGGGTCTACCACGGAAGCTGGAACTGAGGGGCATGGCGATGATAGATAGATAGCGTGACTGTGCACGCACGTCTTTCGATGGTGATGTTTGTTTGAAATTCATACTCTAGTAGCTGTCCAAAAATCCACCTTTGTCTTTTCATTCGAATACCACCATGTCTTCCAACGATGATTATCAAACCTACAAGTTGGGCAATTTCAAGCTAAAGTCAGGTGGAGAGATTCCGGACGCTTTCATCGCCTACAAGACCCTAGGTGATCCATCGCTACCTGCTATCATATACCCAACATGGTATTCTGGGAGTATGCGTAGCCCCAGGCACCCATTGCTGGGCAACTGCTAATACGATGATGTAGCAATATCCGACAATATCTGGCTGACGGGCTCAGACAAGACACTCAACCCTTCTGAGTACTACATCATCATGCCCGCTTTATTCGGCAATGGCCAGTCTTCTTCGCCATCCAACATGCCAGATTTGCGCCCGTTTCCAGAAGTGCTGTTTTACGACAACGTGAGAGCGCAGCATGAGCTCGTCACTAAATATCTTGGTGTAAAGCATGCTCGTGCAGTCCTTGGTTGGTCCATGGGTGCAGGACAGACGTACCAGTGGGCTACGCAGTTCCCCGACTTTATGGACCTCGCGGTACCGTTCTGTGGAAGCGCAAAGACGAGCTTGCATAACCAGGTCTTCCTAGAAGGCGTCAAGAGCGCCTTGTACGCTGCAATAGGAACAAGTTCAGCAGGAGTTGCGAAGCCAAGTCTTCTAGCTGCTCAAGGCAAAACAGCGCAATTCACATCCTCGAACCGAGAGCTCGGATTGAAGGCTCTTGGACGCGTTTATGCTGGCTGGGGCTTCTCACAAGCATTCTATCGTGAGAAGCTGTATGAGACAGCACCCACGCTTGGTTTCAAGAATCTGGACGACTTTCTTGTCAACTTCTGGGAAGCTTGGGCGCTCTCGAAAGACCCAGAGAATATGCTGGTCATGGCGCATACATGGCAAGCTGGTGACTGCTCGCAGCAAGAACCGTATAATGGCGATTTTGAGAAAGCGATGAAGGGTATCAAAGCGAAGACACTTGTCCTGCCAGCAAAGACAGATCTGTATTTCCCACCAGAAGATTCAGAAATCGAGGTTCAGAACATGAAGCCAGGCGTGGGAACATTGAGGGTTTTTCCATCTATCTGGGGCCACTGGTAAATTTGTATCTCCGGATGTATCGAACACTTGAAGCTGACAAGCAACTTAGGGCCGGCGGACCAGGACAGTCGACCGAAGACGTGAAATGGTTGGATGACCAAATGCGGGAGTTCTTTTCGAAGAACTGATCTCGTAAACAATGCTACTGGTTTTATAGCTTGATAGTCTCGACTACCTTGAAACGATCATTGTAGGTATTACGTTGAATAACACATACTTGATCAACATGCCAATCCAAAGCTGCAGGCATGACTTCATCATTTGGGCTGTGATCCAGATGTTCCGCTATTCTCTTTCTGGTCAGTGTGCGGAGTTCATCCAGGCGGACCTCACTCTTCACCTGTCCTACAGAGAGGTGAGGGACGAAGGGCCGCCGATCTGCATTTACTTCAGCAAATTCCTGTTGCAGAACTGCTTGAAGCCGTTGGACATTGTCTGTAGTAGGACCTAGCCAGACTGTTTTGCTGCCCCCTTTGCCGTGGCTGAAGAACCCGGGTGGATCCGCATTGAGCGTTATGTGGAATGATCGTATGTCTTGAACGGCTCTTGCGATACGGACACGTATGTCAGGCTTGAGAGACGAGTGCGAGTCCTCGCCTTGCCCACTAGTTTCAGAAGGTGACGATAGGAAAGGGTATAGCATGTTTATATGCGCAGGCCATCGCTCGAAGTTCTTGTCGTGCGTGCGTCGGACGCCTTCGATAGGTGCAGCGATATTAGCGGGAGGCAATAGCACTAGTGCACTCTTGTGGGAGAGATGCAAGGGTAATTGTCTCGCCATGTTAGGCGACGGTGATGATGTTGAGTTTGCAAGGTTTGCCAATGTTGCGATGGCGACGGGGTAATGCCGCTTCCAGGTTGAGCCACAGTGGCGCACTAGCGGCTTGGCAACGGGCTCCTCGAAAGACGGATGCATCCTAGACTTCTGATTGCTGTGCATTCACTTTCCAGACTTCAACTTGGAAAGGTCGCGTCGCCATGTGGGAGCGCTGAATCTCTTATTACACTCATTTCCCAGCCGTCTCTCACGACAATCCACCCCGACACGCGCCCGATTGCGACTTCTTCCGCGCCAGCTCGCCGCAGCACCCCCGAAGTCGCGCGACTCTTTCAACCCCGATTCTCTCACCCTTCACCATGGACGGCCAGAAGAAGCCCACCCGGCAGTTTGGAGTCACCAGCGCCATATCAGAGGCCGCGCCGACTGAACACGACATCCGGCTAAACGACAAACTCATCGAGACGCTGAAGACTGAGAATGTCTTCGAGACTCCCGAGGGCAACCGCAGGAGGTACGGCAGTCCCTGAACACGAAGTCGCGCCAAGCTAATCTTCGCAGGGAGGAGGTCATCGACCACATTCAGAAGGTAGTCGAAGAGTTTGTCCGTCGCGTCGGCAAACAGAAGGGTGTGCAGCAGCCTGTCCTCGATGCCGCCGGCGGCAAGATCTTCACCTTCGGTAGTTACGCTCTCGGCGTCCACGGTCCCACGTCGGATATCGATACACTCGTTGTCGCGCCCAAGTTCGTGACCATCGACGAATTCTTCAAAAACTTCCCTCCGACCTTCAGAGAGATGTCCAAGGCCGAAGACATCACCGAATTCGTGCCCGTCGAAGATGCCTTTGTCCCCATTATCAAGATGGAATATCGCGGTGTGAGCATAGACCTGCTATTCGCGTCCTTGCCGAAGAGATCGTCGATACCGCGAACAATGGAGACGATCGAGAAGAAGGATTTGGAAGGTCTCGGCGAGTCGGCAACACGCAGTGTGAACGGCACACGAGTCACCAACGAACTCTTGGATGCGGTGCCGCAAAAGGTCAGCTTTCGACACGCGCTGAGGGCCATCAAACTCTGGTCAAACCGCCGCGGCATCTACGGTGCAGTCTTCGGATATCCTGGCGGAGTTGCGTGGGCTATCATGGTTGCGCGCATCTGCCAGCTGTATCCCATGGCCAACGGCGCTACTATCGTTTCCAAGTTCTTCAGCTTGATGTACAAATGGACCTGGCCGCGACCTGTTATGCTAAAGCACATCGAAGAGGGCGACTTGGGTCTCCGGGTGTGGAATCCCCAGGTCTACGGCGGCGATCGCGCCCACCTCATGCCCATCATCACACCCGCGTTTCCTTCCATGTGTGCTACACATACGGTGATGCCATCGACGCTGCGAATCATGAAGGAGGAGTTCGGGCGAGCGGACAAGATCCTACAGCATATCTTCTCGGGCGCCAAGGACTGGGATTCACTCTTCGAGCGCCACTCCTTCTTTACCAAAGACCACAAATACTACCTCAGTGTCGTTGCCGCGAGTCGGACTAAGGAAGCTAACTCGACCTTCTCCGGACTGGTACAGTCGAAAATCCGTCACATCGTCAAAGGCATCGACGATGGACAAACGGGCATCGACACCGCCCGCCCGTACATTCACTACTTTGAACGCTTCCACCGCTGCAAAGACGATCAGTTCCATGAGGTCACGCAGGGTTCTCTCGAGTACATGATTCCGGCATCCGAAGTTCCTGCTGAGGGTACTGAGCCAGCGAATGGCGAGCAGCATATCATCTACACGACGACCTTCTACATTGGTCTTACATTGCCTCCGGGTATGCTCATCCAAGTCATTCAATACGTTGCACAACTAACTCGACGTGTAGATGCTACCAAGTCGCTCGACATCTCCTACCCAGTGAGTCAATTCAGGAGCTACATCACCGACTCCGACCTTTACGATGATAAAGTGATGTCGGTTAAGGTGGTCCATACGCGCAAGTGAGTATAACGCTCATCCATTTCCAAGGCAATTGCTAACTTGTCAGCACTGCACTTCCCGATGATGTCTTCGTCGAAGGAGAGACCCGACCGAAGAAGCCTAGCAAAGACAAGAAGAAGAAGGACGCGAAAAGTGCTAAGCGCCACTTCGCCGATACAGGCATTGACGTGCGTGACTCACGCCTCACTAAATCCTCTCGACGCTCACCCGCGTCCCGAGAGTAATCATACGCCATTATGCTGACGATTTTGCTAATACAGGACAGCGAGCATTCGGCAGCAAAGCGTCGACAGGCCGAACTAGCTACCAATGGAGTTGCTACTCCAGCGGCAGCATAAGTTCGCTTTCAGCTAAGCTAGCACATGTTCGCTTTTTTCTATACTCTCCATCATTTACTCGATATTTTTGGGGTTTCTGACATTCTTCTTCTCTTCAGTTCCGGCTGCTTCCTCACGCGCCCACAAAGGTACGGCTCGTTAGCAACCTGCCTGCCTGATTACACAGGTCTTTATCGATCGACTTAGAGACGCCTCCGGACTTGCGATCCGACGCCGCATCAGGTGCAGGTGCGTATCCGTACATCCGAGGTGCCTCTAACAAACAAAACCAGAAAGAAAAAAAAGTAGGAAAAGACCGCCGCAGAGCGCGTTCACAAAAACACTACAAGAAGGTTTGATCACCCACTTTTACCATAATGCATCACCCCCTATTCTGCAGTTGGCGTTGGTTGGCGTTCAAAATGCATTCACATGGCGTTTCACGACGGAGCGGGACAGGTGGTATTCGTCCGCGCGCGATTGGAGTCTCAGAGAGCGAGGGGGAGCGATCAATTTGCTTTACAAACACCGGGAAAGAGAGGAAACTCGTGGCTGCGAGCTGGGATTCTGTAACTAATACGCAAACTCTGTACAACCAAAAATCTACACCATTTGGGGCCTAAGTGCTCTGGCAGATCCATCGATGGTATCATTGGGTATGAGTGATTGTGATGTGCTGAAGTTCTTCGATGAAAATCCTGTTGGACACTAACAACACATTTCCAAACTCAATCCACTCCATGCCGGGACCCATGTCGCAATTAATAATGCATATTCCTTCGTAATCATAACAGTCATAACCTCGCCAGTTCAAAACCACACATCATCCCTCTACCATGCTGTCCGACGCCGCAGCAACCGCGCCAGTAGTACCGTCCAGTCCATTGATACCGTCCATCTCGCACACGACCATACCATCGTGAAGCCAGTACGGCATGTCGCGGATGTAAGGAGCTTCGGCTTTCTTAGCGCCAGTCAACGCTGAAGCGGCACTTGCCCAGTTGAAGTATTTGTGGCATCCAACGCAGAACTGTTTGGACATCAGCAAAGTATTGTGAAGTTTGTGAGGATGAAGATAGGGTCTTACCATGCTATCACAGCCACCATCTTTCTCGATAACCAACTGACAATTTGGACACCTCTTTCCATCTTTACCCTGCATCAACTTGAGCGTCTCTTTCTCGGCATCACTCATCTTCTCGTCCACATGCTTCGCCGCATACTCCGCACACGTAACGTCCTTGTGCCACGGGACAAGACACTGGGCGCAAGACCGGAAAGCACAGTCGTTGCACGCGACTTGCGGGTATCCAGCCGCCGTCGCATCCGGCAGACCGATCGCAGTGCATGTCGGTGAGAGACAGGTCATGGGCTTGGGACTCGCAGTTTCTTTCCACACTTCCAGCATTTCCATGTTGAACTTCTCGAGCGCGTCACCAGGAGGCATGTAGCGCAGGATGAAGTGGTGGTCCCAGGGCTCCGTACAACCGGGTTCTAGACAGCCGGCGCCGAGTTGACGTACACCGAGCGTGTCCATCTTTGCGGAGAGGAAGTTGCCGATACATGTCTTGCAGACGGGGTCGATTTTGCGTTTGCTGGGGTTCCGGGCTAGGTGGGCGATGCAGGTGAAGGGGACGTCTAGGTGTTGCTGCCAGCGTCCGCGCTTCGGTGGTACCCATTTGACGAACTCATCGGTGGGTTGCTCTTCGATGCAGATACGGCATGTGAAGTGAGTGGGCGGTGGCTTGCGCGGTCTGGGGTTGGGGTTTGGTTTGCGCTTCTTCGCCCAGGGATCTGCACGTGGGCGACGCTTCCTGGTGGGCTTGGTGATATTGGTGGTGTGGGCTTCTGACGCTGCTTGTTTAGTTTGCGAGCGGAGGACTCGGGTGGTTGGGGAGGGTGAGGCTGCTCTTCGTGGCACTCGACGCATGGTGGAGTGAGGTGGTCAGTGAGGGTGGTGGTACGAGTGTGTGATTAGTGGTGATTCAGCGACCAAGTAATGTAGATTGGAGAGTGAAAAGCGTGGTATAGAAGGAGCCTCAATCAGATCGTGACTGACAAGGCTAGTTATATCAGGCTGAGGCTGCAGCTGACATCGGTTGGCGGTATGGAACCGGAAGGCGCTGTGGATGCCTGGCTTCAATTGGCAGGTAGTGACTCACGGTAAACTTCTCAGCCGTGTGATATGAAGATTGTAGCCTGCGATATGTAATTTGGATCTAGGTACCGTGGACGCTTAAGCCAGACAGATGGGTATGTTGCTCAGTCTATACCTAGATATCCCATTGGATAAGGCTAGCAGAAGTAGTAAGCAGTATTATATCAGGACCTATGCAATATCACATGAGAGAGCGGCCTCCGTGTGAGACTTGGTGTCATCTATTGGCGCATTTCGTCAGTCGTCATTGGACCATGTTCGTTTGTCGCAAACGTCTCTGATGCCTGGTAGGCTGTCAACACGCTATCAACGCGCTAGCGAGCATCCTGGTGGTTGATATTCTTGATGCACCTTGCTGCATACACACCATTGAAAGTTGATAACTAAGTGAAATCTGAGATGATGTAGACGTCCGAGTGATGTTTGCCACGACTCGAAGATCCAAGTTGTTCGCAGTCGCGACGGCTGCAGCGACCCCACTTTTAGGCTGCAGGGGTGGGCTGAGCACAGATCCCCCGAGCCCGAACTTTTT